CGGCTTGCACCATATCTGACGCTGCATATACTTGAAGAGGCGAAGCGACCGCTGCCAATCGCCGCGCGCCGCGAACTCCTTGAACACCAAAGCGAAGTCGTTTAGTGACAGCTTGTTCTTGAAGATGTCGAGGCACCGGGCGATGCTGCCGCGCGGAGGGAGGCTGCTGAGCTTGTTGATTAGGGTTTCGACGTCGTAGCTGTACTTCCCCTTCTCCACCGTCACCGACGGGTTCCCGAGGATGAGGTCCTTCGGCTTCGCCCTGGCCGAGAACTCCAGCCGGCGGTCGCCGGAGAGGAAGGTCGTGCGGCCGGAGAGGAATCTCCGGTGGGTTGATGAGTTGGTGAGAACGGTGAGGTGGTGGGACTTGGGGTTAATTTTGGAAATTGAGGTGGAGAGAGGCGAAGAGCTGGAAATGGAGAGCGTGGGGGAGAAGGACATTTCGGTAAGTAGGCTCGCATGAGCCTCGCGGAGCTTCGGATTGGATTTTCTCTGTGAAATTCTCGAGAAAGTTACAGTAGATAACAGAAGGGGAGAGCGGGTGGGAGAAGACTGAGCTTGAAGAAGGACACGTGGAAGCGGTTGTGGATAACAGGGGGAAGAAGGCGTGTAGAGATAGTGGGTCGGGTCCAATTATAACCGGTTATCCACCCAAACCGTGCCCACAGTAAGTAAGCAGGCCCGCAATCGCCGCCACCCAACCCAACTGTCGCACCACGCATTTGAAAGCTCCCTTTTCCCACAATGTAAATAAATCTTCTCCGGATCTCTTCTATCAAGATCACTAGATCAAGTGATTCAGATTTTTTAAATTTCATTTAATAGTAAAAAATTATCATAATTTTTAAGATATCAAAACAAATAGGCCGTTGAATGAAATCTAAAAAACCCGAATCATTTGATGCAGTAATTTTGATTAAAGAAATCTGGGGAAAATCTCTTTCCTCCCGCAACAAGCCCAAATGCATGTCATCGAGCCACGTGTTTGCTCACCACGTTCACGCCTAATAGACGTCTACGTCACCAAAAGTGGGACCGTGATTATGGATCGAGACCCACAAACCTCAATAGAGTAACCGAAAACGCAAAAAAAACAAAAAAACCGCACCGGGGTCTGCGGCTCGTCAGGGGTCGTGGCAAACATCGCAATTCAGGAGGGCAACAAGGGTAAATCGGTAATACGATAAAAACATTCAGTTCCTAACAGACAGCTGCTGCGAAGTGAGGGGGGCAAACTGAAAAACCTCCGCGTCTTCTTCTTCTTATTCCTCCCCTTCTTTCTTCTTTTTACTCAGACACAAAAACGACTTCGTTTTAAACCTGCGACGGCGTCGGGATTGAATGCATTGGCGGAAATGGACGAGTCCGAGGTTGTAATTTCGACTCTTCCCCTTGAACTCTGAACTCTCCCACCAACTAACTACTTTTTTTTTGGGGGTCTATGATCTTGTATTGTGTTCGGTTTGCTGTCGAATTTTGTTTGACTTTGCTTGGTGGGTTTTGGGTTTTGTATCAGAAATTGACGGCGCTGAAGAAGGCGTACGCCGAGATAATCCTCAACACGGCGAAAGAGGCGGCGGCTCGAATTGTGGTGTCGGAAAGGAAAGCTCTGCGGTTCCAGAGGGAGCTCTTTACGGCGAAAGACGAGGCCTTTCGGATGCTTCTTAGGCTCAAACAAATGTTGGATTCGAAGGTAACATGTTTTTGTCTCAAATGGGAAATATGGGATTGCGCCTTTGTCTGTTTGGATGTTGGGTTTGACTGTCCTTGATTTTCTGTGGACTCAGTAATGTGGTTTTTGCAGTTTGGATTGGTCAAAGCTGTGTTTTGTGAACTAAGTTAGTGTAATTTTTGTTTGGTTAAGGTTGTGTTTTTGTCAACAACATACGATCAGTTGTTTGGTTAAGGATATATTTGTTTTCATTTGAAAGGGGATTTCTTGGAGAAAAAGACATGCTTGTTGTTAATTTACTGATGAAATGAATCGAGGGTTTGATTGATTTCGCCGTGTGTTCAGGCTGGTGAGGCAAAGATGATGTCCTTGAGTCAACAAGAAAAGATTGACGAACTTGAAGCGCAGCTGCAGGAAGCTGAGGATATAGTGAAGGAGCTTAGGGAAGAGTTGAGTGAAGTGCAGGCTCAACTGGAGAAGGCGAGAAGCAATCCAAGACAGCCGGATGGGCAAAATTTAGAGAGTGATACTGCAGCTCGAGGGTCAATAACATCGCAATTGAATTTGCAGCTAGATGCAATTGCAACTCAAGAAACGAATTCAATTTCGAATGGGACATATGAGAGGAAAGGGTGTTACGGTGGAAATGATTCTCTTAAGGATAATTACTATGTTCAAAATCCTGATTTTGCCTCGTTAGTAATGAGAAGTAAAGATCCTGAGTTATACAGAAATGGATGCACTCAGAGAATTCGTGCATTTGAAAGAAACCTGTTGGATGAAAAATTCTCTCTTTCTGGACTTGTTGATGATGGGAAGAATGTAACACTCATCGGAGGAGATGATGAACAACTGTGTAAAACCCCTAAAATAAACGGTGATAATACGAATGGGGTAGAGGAGAACCTGGAAGAACTGAAAGTGATGCAGGCAGATGGTTGCCATATTCAAGCACCTGCCTTTACGTCCTTTCAGAAGAAGAGAAGGAGAGCAGCTAGATTTAGGAGAAGTAAAGCTCCCTCATGCAGGTATCTTGATCCTCATCAGTTGATGGAAATGCGCCAAGTATCTGATTTATCATGCACTAGAACTTCTGCTTCTTCACTCAATAACAGTGTTCTCGCAGATAATGCTTCCAAGAAGTCTGAAGATGAAATTCAAAAAGTCACATCATCCATTTCAACCTCAAAAATACTCCCGGATAAAACTGAAACGAGTACACAGTCGGAATGTGGTAATGTTACTGAAAATGATAGTGTTCATAAGGCAACGAATAATGACAAGACGTTTATTGAAGAATCCAGATTGACCGGACAGGAGTGTATATGTGCTGAGAGCTTGAAGGTTCTGGCATGCAAAACAGATGTTGAAAAAGATTATCCATTAGATAAGTCAGATACGAAAGTATCCGATTTAGACGATGGCACTGCTAGTCAACCTGAAAACAATAAGTTTCTCAAATATACATTCTGCAGAAAACGCAAGAAGGACACGTTGAGCAACCCTGAAAGCAAGTCTCTTCTTGACAATGACACTTTGGAAAGGAACACAGGCGAGGAACAAAATGGTTCTATAGAGCCACAGAAATCGAGCTTGTTGATTGAATCATCCCGGGAAAGTCGACGACTAGCACAGGTTGCTCGTCAGGTAGGGATAATCATGATATTAGTGTTTACTTCTTGTCATGTGTGTTTCTTTGCATATAAGTGTGTCACCTCTGGCTTACATTATTGTATACGAAAACTACTGGTAGAATTAGTAAAAGTTATGCAAGAAGCAAGAGTAACTTTTTAGTGGTGAATACTGAGAAGGTCAATCTGAGTGCTTGCCTAGTTTGTCTTCTGTTCTTCCCCGCAAAAGATTAAGTATGTCTGTATTACCCTGAAAAATATTGTGAATTTGAGCCGAACTCAAGCTGGTTCGATGTTGAAATGCTGTTTGGTGTTGCCATATCAATAACCTGGAATAGGATGCCAATGACCATAGTTGTGTAAGATTGTCATTCGCCCTGATCACACCCCTAAAAGATTCATAACATTCGCCAAGAGATTTATATCTTTCCAAAAATGATCAATTGCCATGTAAAATCTCCTTCTATCAAGTTTTTCATTGTGTTTTTCGGATTCTTGAAGATCAACTTTTATTGCATTACACTTGTCCCGTTGTCGTTCTTGTTTGTCTGTTTCACTGAAGTTTCAGATGCCTCGGAGTGATTTGCCTCCGACTTTTTTTTGGATATCCTAGGGCATTGTGCTTACCTATTCATCAACTCTTTCTTTCACCTTAATAGGAGCCTGCATTACTTTCAACTTGTTTTTGGTTTATCCCTAATTTCCTCAGCCGAGGGATTGAGCAGCCTGAAGTTTTCTTTGTTTAGAAATGAATGTAAACAGTCAACAATCTTGTAGCTTTGAACAACTTTACCTGTTGGGAAGTTGGATGAGAATCGAATAACGTTACTTACGATGCCTTGTGCGTTTTCTGTTGCACAGCTTATATCTTTGTCGGAGAAGAAGTGGAGGTGATAGAGCTCTTGACGGACTTTGCAGAGTAATGGCGAGGATATTGAAGTCGAATTAGAAAGAATGCCAGATGAACTGCATCTGGTATAAGAGAATCAGAAGAATGGACAGTTCCATTGTTCGAATTAGTAGTAACAAATTGGCAATGTTTTCCAAATTGCAGCATATACTAAATGATTAAATTGCAATTTTTTTTTCATTCAGAATGCTTCTTTTTGTGTATTTGTAAATGCTGCTCAAATCTCACTTAGTGAGTCACTAAATTATGAATGAAACTGATTATCATAACTGGTAATTACTAGTTTTAATTGGGAATTTACCTCCTCTCTTGTTCCTTTTGGGTAAATAGATTTTGGAATTCACTCATTTGCTATGCATCCTTGATGAAATAGTGGCTTACTAACCCGAGTAATTTAGGGCGTACATAATTCACCTCATAGGTCAAACGGTTGTCAATAGAGGATAGCACTTTTACAAAGTGTTTTTGGCTCTTTATATCAAAAGTACTTCTATTCATAAGCGTTTTCTGCTAGAAGTGCTTTTTATTATAAACACGTAACAATATATAATAAAAAGATGGATTTTTCCAAAGGAAGTTCGCAACAGGTGTTTCTCCTAAAAACATTTCCCGACTTGTAAACATTTAAGTTTTTATGTCAAACATAGTCAGAAACGTTTTTTATTGTCACATAATGTTTTTAGTCATCTCAAATCCAATTCCAAAAATACCCTTACTTACTTGAATTCAGCTCTATCACACACCTTAATTACTTGTTTAGTTACAAACTCACGCTATTTCACCTTCAATATGAAGGGACAAAATTTGGGGTTTAAATAGTAAAATATAGAAAAAGAGGCTTTGAATTAGTTGTGGAGCTTATTGAAGACCTCAAGCAGTCGGAGCTTGCGCGCAGCACACTCCCCCCACACACAGACGATACCAAAAAAACTCGCAGAGAGAGAGAGAGACTGAGAGAGAAATGGGGATAGTGAGCAAGGCAGGGGATTGGGCATTCAAGGCGTTCACGGCGGGGCTCGGCGTCACCACTTTATACCTCACCGCCACCTTCTCCGCCAATGTCTACAAAGGCCTCGCCTGGCACAAAGCTCAATCGGTAACTCTAACACCTCTCTCTCTCTCTCTCCAGCTAGGGTTTCCTTTATGCGTTCAATTATTGGGGATAATTTCTATGCTCTGTGATCTCGTATGAAGCATGAAAGATCGTCCCTTTTCGTTTAAACCTACCCTAATTTTTCTGTAATTACATAAATTTATAAGATGTTAGGTTGTATTAGCAGTTTAATTATTGGATTAACATTACACAAATTGCATCTCTGGCTCTGGGTAGGTATGTGTGAATTGAATTCTGATGGGAGCTCTAGCAGAATAGAATGATAGGGTTTATTGGGAATTATAACTTGAGAGGATGATGAACCTCAGCTTAACTGATCCAAAATAAGCACTTGGGTAGATTTGGAACCAGAAATGTATCTGCTTGATGAAGTTTATGCATCCCCGACTATGTTAGATAACCGGATATTTTGCGAAAATCGTTGCAGGGGCCGATTTCCTGTATTCAGGGCGGTTTATTATTCCCACATTTCGATAGTGAAAAGCTTTTGAACCCCTAACCGCGCGCCCTAATGAACAGTAGCTATTCCCGTTGCTTTGTTAGAGTAAGGATTGATCAATGTGAATGACTGCAAATTGGAAATATGTGAGTGCTGGTATATGCCGTCGCTTTTGTTTGGCTCCAGTGCGATTGGTGTGATTGTTATACCAATCCCTTAACAAAATGGTACAGCTGCTTCTATAATATAAGTACCCGAGAAAACCACAACCTAGCACGATTATACATACGCGAATCCTTTCGACGGAAATATGCAATAAGGCCGCAGTTTTCATAGTATAGATTTTCGGAGTTGTGATCAAGTGCTTAAGATGCTATTCAAATCTGTTGAGTGTTATCTATCTTGTCATCAAAACTGTAAAAAAGATGACGATACAGTTACTAGTTAAATCCGTGTCTTTTGTGTTTCTAGCAGAAAATGGCGTCGTATATAATGCTTTCGTAGGCTTCTTGTTTAACCCTTTTTCAGTAGCTCCCCAACCGAGTTTCTTTTTCTGCGCAGAAAATCGAGAAAGAGGGTGCTACTGCTGAGCAAGCCCCTTAATTTTGAGTTTTCACGGCAGTCAGGTGCGTCCGGGAACCTTATCCTCTATGAACATTACGGTGTTGGTCTTTGCCCTTCACGTTTTAAGTAATTGAATTAGATTTTGAACCAGTAGAGCCATCAGTTGGCTTTACTTTTCGGATGACGCGTTTTATTTCTATGTGATTTCGATAACTCGAATATGTAACTGTTTTTCAATATTTACTAAATAAACTTTTCTGAATTGGAAATTCATCGACTCGTATGTTCTTGGAATTCCTTTGGTGACAAGCCAGACCTTTTCATATGCCTTGAGTTTGTTCAGAATGGACCGGCATTGATCGGGATTCGTGGCCGTTGGATCCTTAGCCATTGGATCTTCGATTCAGGCCGGTCCATTCAAGAATTTTCGCATATACCTGGCCTTTCAAGAATTATAGCCCTAATGATGAAACATAGTTGCGTACATAAAATTAAAGGTCGGCTCGGGTCGGGTTGAGTTGGCGTTGTCCAATTCCGAAACGAGTAGACAATTGAGAGCACTTATGATCTATGGTTTTTACTTGGAACTGTATAAATTTGTAACGAAACAAACAACGGTACTCGAAAAGTATAGAATTCATCATCATCATATCTTAAAACTCTTTAAGAGCAAGTAGTAATCAGTGAGAAGAAAGCTACAAAATGATACTCTACTCCTCTGTACACAATACATTCTCTGTACCAACTACCAGGAAAAATGGCATTTGTTGATATATCACTCCTTTGAAATCTTACTGCAAAGAACAATAAGAGGTGCACTTACCGAATAGCACGCAATATATTGCTTTCTGTATCTTCGTTTAATCGTATGAAAGACTACTATCGTCGGTATACTCAAGAGTACGACGGTTGCAAATTTTCCTGGAGGCTGCTCTTATGATAAACCGAGAAGGCGAGAATATAGCACAAACCTATTACCTTCACTTTGCCTTGATCATGCATCGATCACACCAGGCCGGTGACAAACTCAAACTTTCCGGCTGAAATTATGCTGCAGGGACTGGTAAACGTAATCTGGAGAAGGGAAATGCGACTTAAGTTAATGCCTAGCAGTACAAGAAACGAGTTATTACGTGCGGAAACATTTGTGCAGTACCTGCTGATTTGACTGGCTAGCGACGTGCTCCTTCAGACACACCCCTTGAGCCACTCCGAATCTCTGCCAAAGGGTTTACAATGAATCCACTCCTATCCTGGAGCTGAAACCTAAGGCTCTCTGATGTTTCAGCATTGCCATTGTCATCGGCTCTGTAGCGCATAGCTGCTGCCGGAGCAATGCCACTGGCATTAGGATACCTTGAGGTTGAGTACCTGCCTTCTGTTTTCCTCCAGAACTTGGAACTCCAAAAATCGGCACCAGGTAGCAGGCAACATGAGCTGCGGCGTGAGTCAACTTTGGTCATCCTTCCACTTGACAAGGCCAAATCATATGAGATCCCATCCAGTGCTAGCTCTAGCCCATGCACACGGGTCTCCAACGAACGCATTCCAGTTTGCGAGCTACCCATGAATTTCTAATGTAAGAAGTGAAATGAAGAAAATGATTAGAAGAAGCCCTACACCAAAATGCACTACAAGAGTTGGTTATACTTGTTAACAACAGATTAAATATAATATAGGCATATTTAGTGCTGCAATTATCCAGGAAAATAACACAAATTACTTAAGAGTAAACTCGATTTCAAGCCGTGGAAACAAACCTGCACGAGATCAAGTAAACTGGACTGCTGCTTTTCAATCTGAAGAAGTTGATTGCGGATCAGGGATAAATCCTCGCATTCTCTGCGGTTCTTATGACTATTCTCGGTAACATTACTGACTACAACGGGAGATTCCGCTCTCTCCTCATGATATGGAGCCACACGAGATCCTGACCTTGACCCACCAAATTTGTGCACTTTGTTATCAGAACACCTATGGAACAAGGCCCGTTTTGTGTTCCCGTCGATCCTTCTTTCTGGGATATTCTCATCTGTCTCCTTAAAACCGTCATTAAAAGCCCCAGCCGATGAGGGAGCGCTAAGCACACTAATCTCAGCTTCCCAATCTGAAGGCTTCTTATGACCTGGTTTCCGAAACATTCCTGGATTCACTTTCTTGTCATTACTCATCAAAGTACTTCTGTTCCTAGCAGTGGTAGCATAAGAACTATCAGGCGGAGTTGATCTACTAGCCGGAGTAGGTTTCTTCTTCAATTGGCGAGCTCCGGAACCAGGAACGTTGCAGTTTCTGGACCTAGCCGGCTGGCGTCCATCACCTGCATTCTCTGGATTCATCAAAGAACCCGAATCCAATAAACAAAAGAACATCAGATAAAATCATATCAAAGACTATAATACCTACTAATCCAATGAATTTACATAAAACTAAGATCGATTAATCATCCATTGGTATGAGCAATCAATGATTCAAATCTAGTAATACCTTTGGAGGAAGCAATCGATTGCGGCGGCGGCGAAGCCTCATCGGAGAGATCAGGAATCTGCTTCCATGCTTCCATCATCTGATTCATAACCTCCCTAACACCCTTCACCTATTGCAAGCCATTTCCAAATCACCCACATTAGCAAATTAAACAAAATTAAGTACGCTAGAAACTCAATAATTAAATAATTATTTATGAAAACAAAGGAATTAAAATTACCTTATCGAACTTCCGAGCCTCGAACGTTCTCAAAGACCCAGCTTTGAACTCCGACAACTCGTCTCTCTCCACAACCGCCAGCTTGGCCAGCGCTTCCGCCGCGGCCTTCCTCGCGGCCCAGTCCTCGCTGCTCAGGAACCCGACGAGGCAAGGAACCAAGCTCCTCAAAGCTCCGTGACCCGACGCCCCGCCCGACCCGATCACCGACCCGATCAACGTCAGCACCGCCGGCTTCGCTTTATACCCGTCGCACTTTACCAGTTTCTCGAGCCTAGGCAGCAGCCTCGACAGCTTCGCGGGTTCCGGGTCAGGGGCGGAGTCGATTCCCGACGCCAGGCAGAGGGCCGACCCGATCTGCGAGTTCGGGTCCTGCTCCGTGAAAAGCGCGTCTGTTAACGGCTTCAGAAAAGAGCCGAAAGAAGAGGGCTTGGTGACATGGCAGGAGAGGGAAGCGACGGCGGTTTGGCAGGCAGATCGGACAGCGGAGTCCGGGTCGCGGAGGCGCTTGGTGATGCTGTTGAGCATTTTGGTGAGGTGCGGGGACAGCGAGTCGCCGTGGGTTTCGGAAAGGACGGTGATCATGTGGACGCATTGTCGGCGGACAGGAGACTTGTCGGAGGCGTCGGTGGCCTGGATGCAGGAGAGGAAAACGGGTACGGACGTCGGGTCGAGGGTTCGGGCGATGGATTCGAGTTCGGAAGCTGCGAGGGAGTACGTGTCACGGTCGGAGAGCTTATTCAGGCAGATAAAGACCCGGTGCTTGAGGTTCTGGGCGGGAGGCATTGTGGATGAAGCCAGTTTGGTGGAGTCGAGTCGAGTTTACGGTTCCGGCGGCGGAGCTTCCGGAATCTCCAGCAGCATTGCCGGTGGAGCTGATGGTGGTTCTGTCGGTGTGTTTTTGGAGAGAAAGGTGGTTCGAGGCTTTACGCTTTTTAAACTGAAAGAGAAAAAGGAGTCGGTGCGCGGAAGTTTTCAGGAGGGTAATGATGACGGTGTCGTTTCGGTAAGGGGATGAAGTCGTTATTCGTTAATTTCCTGTTTAAGAGAGTGATTATGATTAATGACTGGCAGGGTGAAGGATTACCAGTTTTTTACTTCACTCAAGGATAATTTAGTCATTAAACCTTGCTGGATTTCCAAATCACCTTCAATCAGTATGTTTACTTGCAACAAGGGAAACAAAAAGTCGTGAATTTAGGGGACAAAGAATGGGAACGTGATTAACTAACTTTACGAATTAATCTGAAATCGGATTTTTATTTATGTATCAGATTACGGATTATATTATGAGTATCATATATTTATTTATTTCCGCATTCTCTAAGTAAATAAAAGACAAAAGAAATAAAAGAACACAAGAAAGAAATCAAACTGTGAAATCGATTTATTTTAATAGATTATATGATGTGACGGTCGATGGTTAAATTATTTTTTATAATTTACAAAATGAGTTCAACCATCAACGGTCACATCATGTGGTTTACAAAATATTATTCAAGTAAATGAAGAGATTTTTCAATGTGTTGGATCGCGATCTGATAGATTAAATGTAATAACACAAGTGGTTGGATACTTGAAAAAAACTTTACAACAACTTGTATTATAACATTTGGTGCATTGGGTCTTATTTACGACAAACTGAAAAATTTCTCCATCTGATAGGGAGTGGTTCACGTGAGCTCGACACCATGCTAGAATCGGATTGGTCCAATTGGGTAACTTCAAGAAAAGGATGGAGGGAGAAGTGAACGAGGATCCTCTTCGGATCTTCATTGTAAGGATTCTGGAGATCATATAATCGTATCTATTTATCGTACATTATACAATTAGAAATTATTTTAAATCTTATATTTAAAATTGAATACAAATAATATTTGATAAAAATTGATCACACAATTTATGATGAACAAACACGATTAAAAGGTTCTCTAGATCCTTCCAAAAAGATCCGAGGACCTGAATTCGGGGGAAGTGAATTAGATTTAGGGGACAAGATAGCACGTGAATAATTATAACGCCGGCAGTAAATTGTTATGGTTGGTACGTGGGTGGGTTAATTTTGGGCCTAGCATTAAGGTGGTCACGTGACCGTTGCTGCCCTTGCGGGAGTTAATCATGCCAAATACACTGTGCCTACAAATTTAAAAATAAATAAATAAACGATATTATTTATACAAAGAGGGAGATGATAGGCTTAGCCTCACAATAAGATAGCAATAATGTGATTCAAATTTTTTTGACGAGAATCGTACATAAGACCTGTTACTTACAAGTGAAGAAGAATATTACTAGACCGTTGTATTAAATGAAATAGTTCTATTAATAAATGATTACACTTGTAGTGAAAGAGATCTGGTAATACATTTGATATGCAAGTAAATCATAACATAATACGTAGTGGTTTACTTGATCATGTTTAAGAACTAATTAATTAAAGATTATTAAACTAAATTTTCGATTAATCCTTTGTTTGTTGCACCTACCAATAGGAGGGGTTGAACTAATTAAAGATTTAATATGTTAGCGTATTGGCATGCTAATGGATACAAAATTATAAAATTTCTGACCATGTGCATCAGATAATTTATAAGAGGGTGTCGATTTTTAAGGGTTCGTTTGAAATTGCTTTTAAAATAGTTGCAAACGTTTTTTTATGAGAGCGTTTTTAGAATTAATTCTTAGTAAAAATGCAACTGAATAGCACTTGAATTGCTTCTTGCATAAAGCATTTCAAGTACTTTTGGAATTGAAGAACATTTTCACTAAAAGTATTTTCTATCATTTTAAAAACACTTCCAAACTAACCCTAATTCAACTATAATATTTATAGTTTTGGTATTTTTTTTATACAACGAGATTCTACTTTAGAAGGAGCGAAATTAGACTGCGTCACACAATAAACTCATCATCATCCACATGAGCTGAACGTGAAATATCTGACTTACTAGTTCTTGAAAACTGTTAGTCGACCAACAAAATCAAATCAGAAATGCAATTTGTTAATTAATTGTGGGCCAAGAAATGTATGTTTTAGAATTAGAACCGTACTAAAAATGTGGGTCGTCTCAGCTCTCAACCTCTCCTTACCAATCTGCTTACACTTCACACCTCAAAGGAAAGCTAAATGGTTTCTGAAGTTAAATAATTGCTTACCTCAATTCGATGAACGGCAATGATTGTGGACAAGGAAGAAGCAAAATTCATACAGAAAATAAGGGCAATTGTAATGACAACTCCAATTTGATTGAATCATGTACCAAAGTGAAGCAAATTTGGCATGTTGGCCATGTGAAATTTGGTTACATGGTCATCACATTCATCAAGATCATACTGACAACTATATCAATGACGTATCGACAGTTGTCAGGTATAAGTATTGACAATTAATGCTCTAATCGTATTTTGAAAAGAAAAAAAGGTGTTGTAACGAGAAAATTTATGTGAAATAATATATAATCACCCTTGCTAGAATAAAAAACAGAAACCAACACGATGACATATGAATTTCAACTTTCAAGAAACTCTAAACCGACCTTCATACATGTAAAAGAGATGTCTTATCTCAGTTTTATACGCTAAATATGTCTATCTTCCTAATTTTATATGTCAAATATGTCTGCCTTCCCAATTTTATACGTCAAATATGTCTGCCTTCCGCAACATATAACTGGTGCATGAAACCGACGTTATCAAGTTTTCCTCATATATGTATTGAAGGTGAGAACAATTAAGCCTTATTCCAAATGTCTCATGCACAGAGAATGAGAACTTGGTCTGGACTCAATTCGGTCCTATTTGCAGGGGGCAGGCCATGTGCAATTTGCTTTGTATGTGGTACGACACATAACGTGAAGTTTCCAAGCTCAATACATATGTCGTTTAAGTATTCAAGGAGTAATATAGACACAATATAATATAATAATATAACAGTATATATACAGAGAATGTAGTAGATACTGCCAAGATAAAAACATTCTTTTAGTTAGGGTACTGCATGCTGCTATGCTTGTTTGGCACGTCATAATTTATATATCTAAATTTTCATGTAAATTTTGTTTTTAAATTCATTATTATTAAGAGAACGGAGGGGGGATTCAAAACTATTATAATTTAAAAGAGAAAGTTTTAAACCCATAACGTATGAATGAAAACTCAATATTCTATCTACTAAAATATTAGACCACATACATAATCATTAGTTTTTTGATGCCACAAGCTTAAGAGGAAGTTAAGTTGAAGAATTCACAATTTCATCGTACCAAGTCGCAGTTTGGGAGGATTATAAATTTGATTTTTGATCATTATTTCAACCTTAAATCACAACATATATTAACAAGTCGAAGAACAATGATATCGTATGGATCATGGTTTTTTGCCAAGAAGAAATTTTTTCCATCACGTCTTTGAAAATACGTGGGAAGATTAGTCGATAACTTACGGAAGAATTTATTCTTCATAAGTTAACTTCTTTCTTAATTTCTTCGCATAGAACGCGAGAATTTATAATATCATAAAACTCAAGAACGAGACAATTTAGCGAAGACGTAAGAAAGAAAAATCGAGTTGGGAATTTCGTTGAAGTAGTATCATATTGTTTTTAGATATAGATGGGTGACTTAAAAATAAAGAAAAAGAGTTTAATTTGAAGTATAGGGTTTGCAATGTGTTGTATTCCCACATGGGATGTGGACTTAAAATTAGCTTGAGTGGCATTATAGCAATTAATATTAAAATTTAAAATTATTGTGTACCCTGTATATGATGTATCATCATTCATGCCTTGTTTATATAAGGTGCTTTTACATAAGGTTATCATCACTCCTCATAATTCCACATGCAAAGGAAGAGGACAATTAGGTGGTGGCCTTTGGCTTTCAAAGAGAAGGAATTAAAAGAAAAAAGCAAATGTATTTGGTACTGTGGGACCATGATTTTAAGAGCAGGAGTAAAACGGATCAGAATACAAACATCTCATAAATTCGGTCATGGAATCAACAATTCTTATCAGATTGAGATGCACAAATGGATCAACGATGCCACCATCATCCTATGTTCTGGAAAGGTAGGCGAAGTATGTGGACTTTGTTGAGATTGATCATTCTTATTTTGCAAGGTACAGAGACCTTATCTGATTGAGATCAGATAAGTTTCATATATTTTTGGAGATTCTTATAGTTTAGTGATTGGCATGCGCCCAAATAATCACACTCCTAAGAGGATGCAATATCTACTCCTACATATCTTCCGGGATTCTCTCGGTTTAATACGGATTCTATATCATGCCCATTGCTTGAGTCTTAAATTGCTTATTGACTTGACCGCCACAAAGTCTTGGTTTCTATCCCATCGGTACCAACGTGATCTTACGATTACTCTTTTACAGGTAGTTGAGTAGATGCATCTCCTCCATATACATTAATGCACGAATTTGGTCCCAAAATGCACTATTTTTTTTTTTTAATACATTGATATATGCACACTAAGAGTTAAAGAATTTGGGTTAAATCATACGAGTGAGCGCTAAATTATACGAATGAGCGAACCACAATAATTTGAGTCCAATGTGCCATTCACATAAATTAAATCTAAAACCTTCAACTTACAAATAGAGAAGAATTTTACTAGAAAATAGTGTACTAAATACACCATCTTTGGAGTAATGGAGTTAAATTATTTTCTTCATTTCTAAGCAATTCTTAGGTTTCGATATGTAGGTTAAACAAAACCCACTTGTTTGGTTTAATGGATAAGTGATTAGATAAAATAGCGTGTCGGTGACCAATTAACAATCTAACTCACTCATTGATAAAACAATATGTGAGCAACTAACTCCATCAATGATATACATCTGATAAAACAATGCGTGAGCGACTAATCCCGACAATCTCACCCAAATTTATGGCTCTAATGGTATCAAGTCTAAACATTATCTTTAGCACAAAAGTTTAATGTTTTTGTTTTTTAGTCACTTCATGTAATTTGGGATTTGGCCATGGTCAACATTTGAGGACCACAAGATTGCTAGGTG